CACGGGAAGGGCGGCCTCTACATCGGAAAGGCGGTCCTGAAGAACAATGTCTTCGTTCTTGATTTCGTCCCAGATCTGGGCACCGCAGACAGTGACGGGATCGTCACCTTCACATCTTGGACGCACCCGCCGGATCTCGACCCCGACTTCAGTCCGGAAGGCTTTTGGTATTCACATACCATTCCTGAAGCAGAACGAACACGTGCATTAGTAACAATACAACATTCGGCAGCAGCAGAGACAACATCGGCAGCAACAGAGACAACATCGGCAGCAGCAGAGACAACATCGGCAGCAGCAGAGACAACATCGGCAGCAGCAGAGACATCATCGGCAGCAGCAGAGACATCATCGGCAGTAGCAGGAACAACAACAGTAGCAGCAACAACGACACCACTCCTCGTTGACGAAGCACCACCAACACCCGCACAGCAGCTGAATCCGGCTCAACGGGAAGTCCATAGAAGCGCAAACTTCACCGCCAGCTTCTACTCCAACTCCGACGCGTATCGACGCTCACCCGGACACCGCGCCTCCGAAGACATCTAGCACGCACGCATGGGACACCCAAGCAACACTGTGTTAAACAACACAATAAGAGCAGGAGTCCTTGACAAGGACTCGTTACTACTACTCGACGGCAGAGAACTTCAACGGGCACGAGGAACATGTCTTACCTGCCCCGAAGCTGACTTACCACATCGGCCGTTCACTCCTCATCACAACCCGAGCACACCCGCGTACACACCACTAGAAAAGGTGTATAGCGACATCCTGTACAATCGGGAACCAGGACAAGTAATATACAACTACACAATCACCTTCATCGACGCCGCCACCCGTTACGTCTGGCATCTAAACCTACCCAGCCGCGACATGGTCCTCGAAGCATTCGCTGCTTGGCTACCAGTAGCAGAAAGAGAGTCGGGCGTAAAGCTGAAAAGCTTCCAGTCTGACGGAGGAGGAGAATACACCTCTCAGCGATTCAGGCAGTACCTGGCGGAAAGGGGAATCAAGCAGCTCCTCTCTCTTCCCTACGCCCATCAGCAGCAAGGTGTAGCAGAAAGAATGAACAGGACTCTGCAGAACAGCATGCGCAAACTGTTGCGTGGCATGCGGCTACCCAACCACCAGTGGCCTGACGCGATGGACCACGCTGTCATGCTGCACAACTTGCTCTCATCTTCATCACTACCGAACAACGCATCACCGCATCTACTGTGGACAGGAAAACAGGGCAGCACAAAAATGTTACGAGTGTTCGGATGCATGGTACAGTACCGACCCCCAGCAGCACGAGCGGGCCGATTTTCACAACGCGCACAGTGGGGACTACACCTCGGCATCGAAAAGAACTACAACGCGTGGAAAATCTTTGACGTCCACTTCAAGGAAACAGTAGCAGCACGCGACGTCATTTTCTACGAACGACTCATGCTCCAGACATACCTTGCCAACCTGCAAGAGGACCAAGATCCCACAGGTGGTTTTCGTGGTGACCGAGCCTTCGCCTCGGCAGCAGACGAAGCTGACTGGGACGAGCAGAATGTGGCCAACGCATCAGAAGAAGCTGGACCCCTTCCGTTCTGCTCCGTCGACGTCCCCATGGACGAAGATAACCCTCGCGAAAGTGTCAACGCCGAAACCTTCTACTACTTCGCCGACAACGGTTACGTAACACCTGCGACAGTCAACACCAACGAAGCAGAACGAGTAGGACCGAATTTCATACCTGATCCAGAAGCGGGAGATGAAGCAGCTTATCCCGAGGATGCAACTCTTCCCCGCTACTCACAGACTGGACTGCAGATTCTCGGACTCGTCACCGCAGTCCACGGCAACACTCTTCCTAAGGAGCCTGCGACGGTTCAGCAGGCTCTGGGGGGGGAACACAGGGAAAAATGGCGTGAAGCCATGGACAGAGAATTAAAGGCGCTGGAGGAACGGAACACCTGGAAAGTTGTCCCCATCAGCGTGGCAAGGAACAAGACCATTCTCACCGGGAAATGGGTCTTCCGCGTTAAAACAAAATCAGACGGCACAATTGAGAAGTTCAAAGCACGCTGGGTTGTGCGTGGATTCGATCAGGAGCACGGACGGGACTTCACCGAGACATTCGCCCCGGTTAGCCGACATACCTCACTTCGAATCCTCCTCGCGATCGCCGCCATGAAGAAAAGGAAGCTACGGCAAATCGATGTCGCCAACGCGTTCCTCTACGCACCTGTCGACGTGGAAATCTTCGTCGAGCTCCCACACGGTACCAACGGGGAACCTAACCAAGTCTGTCAACTGCTGAAATCACTTTACGGGATCAAGCAAGCTCCGCGGCTATGGCAACAGTACCTACACGCTCGCCTCATTCGCATCGGATTCCGCCAACTACCTCACGACCAAGGAATGTACCGACTCACTAAAGACACCGACTACATTCTGCTGATCGTCTACGTAGACGACCTACTCTACATCGGCTCCACTGACGACATCACCACCTGGTTCGAAGGGGAGCTACAGAGGGACCTCACACTCACGGTCTCCTCTACCGTCACACAGTACCTCGGCTTGAACATTCGGGAAGAAGAAGGCGCGATCTACCTCAACGCCGCTAAGTACGCCGACACCATCGCCAAACGCTTCGCGCTCACACCTACCACCATCTCTACGCCCTACCGCTACGCGACAGGAAACCACAAGGAAGGATCCTCTCTACTCAAATCCGCCGGGATACGCGACTACCAGAGAAAGCTAGGATGCCTTCTCTTCGCAGCTGTCACCTGCCGCCCCGACCTCTCATACTCCGCAAGCCAGCTCGCCACCTACCTCAAGAAGCCTGAAGCAGAACACCTGGCGGAGCTCGACCGCGCTCTCCACTACTTCGTCAGTACCTCAACGATCGGCCTAACTTACTACAAGAACACAACTACACCGACAAAAAAAAAAATCGGCTACGTCGACGCTGATCACGCTGGCGACTCCGACAACAGGCGCTCCCGCACCGGCTACATCTACCGCCTCGAACCTATCGGACCGATCTCCTGGCAATCGAGCAAGCAGGAATTAATTGCTCTCTCGTCAGCTGAAGCAGAATATATTGCACTCTGCTCAGCCACCAAGGAAGGACTCTATCTTCGCGAGCTGCTGGAAGAAGCGAAGTTAGCCGAGTTACCCAACTTCACTCTGTTCTGCGACAACCAATCTGCAATTCGCATCGCCAACAAAAATGGATTCGCGAACAGAACGAAGCATATCGCTCTGCGATATTTCTTCGTGAAAGACGAGATTGAGAAGGGGAGACTTGAACTATCCTACTGTCCCACGTCCGAGATGGCAGCTGACTACTTGACCAAGAAGCTCGGAAAACAGAAGTTCGAGTACTGCATGCTGCTGACTGGACAAAGCCACGTCACCAGCAGCGACACTCCAGAAGCGAAGGGGAGTGTTGGGAACAAACAATCTTAAGCGCCTCTGTCGTGTCGAAACACCAAGGCACAAGCGAAGCAGAGCATATCGAGGCACCAGCGAGTCAACCCTCGGAGGTTGAAGTAACCGATGGAGGTTACGCGAAAGTCAAAGGTCAGCGACCTTTGACTTGACAAATGCAGCGCGACAGCAAGGACACACAACTGACTCGACATTGAGCAGTTGCCCGAGTCGCACTGTATCGAACCGCAACAGTAAAACAGTTTAATTATATCTCTTCGTATTCTTTGTACTCTTATATAAACCTTTGTACTTGCTTGTTTTAATCAACTTACTTTGCCCTCACATACCAGCGCAAGGTGGTTCAAGGACTTCATTTAAACGCTTTCGCTACTACATCACTCTACCCAGAGTTTAACCCTACCAAAGATCCTAAGGGGCACTCAGCCCAACAGAGTTCACCCCTGCAAAGATCCTAAGGGCCTTTTCAGCCCAACAATTATCACGGGCTAGAGAACCTATTCTGAGTAAAAAGGCGGTCGTAAAGGGGAGGGAATGACAGGTTTCCTGACTACAAAGGGAACGAACCTTATGACGGGAAGGACGGGAATGACTGAAGTTTCGGGATGGACGGGCGGAATTGAGTGTGCTGGGAGGGAACTACGATATTCTACGCTACGGAGCCTCCTAGGTATCGAGTCTATTATGGTGAGTTTTGGCTTCAATTTTCCGGAAGTGTGAACAGTGACCCGTTTGTGGCGAAAGTGTTGATCATTTTGCCACAGTTGATTTCAACCACTCAGAAACTCTCCATTGGAACCCAGCTCTGTGGGTCGCGAGGGTATGGAAGTCCCAAACCGGGTTACCTGGTTCTTGGCGATTTCTACTTCAAGAATCTTGAACTTGAACTCTTACCATTCTAGACTCGGGTTTTAAGGAGGGGCTGGAACCCTGATTTGTAAGGGTAGGCCTAAACCAATTTTGGGCCCTGGTTAGGGTTTGCGGTATATGTACCCCAACCCTCATCAATAACATACGGTAACACTTTCATTCCTCACACCCCGATACAAGTCCGAGGCTCAGCCTACACTAATAAATTAGGCTGAAATTTCAGACAACTAATAAAAGAAAAACTCTGAAAAAACAGACAAGGTACATAAAAAAGGTCTTGGACTTCAGACTAGGTACAAAAAAAAAAGTCTGAACGGACTCTGAATCAGACTAAGAGCGTATTCCTATCCTCGTATCAAGAAAACCTCATATCAAGATTGTACTTTTTGCCTGGTAAAAGTAGCGAGAGGTTTTGGGTTTAGGGAAATTTTCAGTGGGAGGTTGATATGAGGTTTTCTTGATACGAGGATAGGAATACGCTCTAAAAAGTCTGATATCTAGGACAATGCCATCCATACCATGCCGCTGCTTACAGGGCTGGAGGGAAAAAACGAAGTCTGCTTGAGGTGAGGTAAAGGAGAGAGCAACCTGCAATAAATACATAGAAAGCTACGCCTCTAAATAGAGGCTAAAAACTACAAGCAAGAGGAGGGATGCCAGGCTTGTGGAGGGTAATACAAGCAAGTAGGCTATAGCAGAGCCACGAGGGAGAGCGCAGCAGTCAAGAGGAGGGGGACTGCACACAGCACACACACAAAGCGAAGAAATTTGGGAATGTTAAACAAGTGGGTTGATGAGCGGTTGCACCCATAGCCATCACGAATGCACACAGCACAGGCACACACACGAAGATAGGAAAAATGAGATTCAGCGGCAAGAAATGAGGGGGAGAAAAAGAGAGGAGGGGGCAGCGCTCACCTGCAGCAGCCTTGCTCTGTGCTTGACCCGCAGGGGGTGACCCAGCAGGTGGTGCTGGCGTGCCACTCGCCGCACTCTTAGATGCATCCTGCCCACCACTGCTGCTGCTGCTGCTGCTGTTGCTGCTAGACCCAGCACCAGCACCCCCCGCAGCACTGTTGTTAGCAACGCCAGTCGCAGTGCCATTCGTGTCGGCGACGTTCGCGCTGTTGTTAGCAACGCCACCAGGGGCCACAACAGGGATGGCAATGGGCACAGGCACATCACCCTCTGCTCCTCTATCCCCCTTGGGGAATGGAGGAAAGTCGCTCAGGTGGGGGAAGAGCACGCCATCGACGCCATGCACCACCATGCCAGCGCTGTCCATCAGATCAGCCCGCACCACCCGAGCCACGTTCATGTCGCTGCCAGCCTGTTCCCACATCATATTAGAGCCTGCCACCCAGGGGGAGGAGGAGTTGAGCCACACGAGGTACTCGCTGGCAGTCACGTTGAGCCCCGGCACGACCCCATTCATTCACTCTGTCGCATTCCCCCACCACTGCTGCTGCGCATCCGCGCTCCAGTTGCCCCAGTTGCCCCACCCGCCCATGAACCCCGGGATCGGGTCCACCTGGATGTTGGGCGGCATATCGGTGGGGACCATGTCAGCAAGGGGCAAGTCGGCGGGGGCGGGCATGGTGGTAACGGGGGGCACATCGGCGGGGCCGCCCATCGGCGGCTCCATCATCATCTGCGCGCCAGCCACGCCGCGCGGCGCCACCAAGCTGTCGCCTTTGCTTGTCAAGAAGATCTCGGTGCCATTGGCGCTGACGACGGTACAGTTTGCGAAGAACCTGTTACCCTCCGAGTCCACGGCTATGGGGCTCGTCGCGGGGTCAAAGATGACGGTGCCGTTGGCGGCGACGGTGGTGCCGTTGGGGTAGTAGATGGTGCCGTCGTAGATGATGCTTGCCCCCTCGCTGATCAGCGCGCGCCGCGCCGGCGAGTACGCGTTGAGCAGCGCGGCGGACTCGCTCTTATTGAAGTTGATCCACAGCCCCTGCCCGTTCACCGTCGTCAGGTTGCCCGCATCCGCCGTGAACTGCGCCGCGATGGCCGCCGCGTTCAGCGCCGTCGTTGCCACGTGGTATGCGAGGAGCTTCGACAGAGCCTTCAGCGCCTCGGGCCGCTCCTTCGCCAGCGCCGCCAGCGACGCGGGCGTCCCGTCGCCGGAAAACACAACGCTCAATGCGGCGAGAAGCTTGTCGAAAGTCAACGGGTTGTTCATGGACATGTTTATATTGGGAAAGGTCGAGTTGAAATCGGGCATGGTCATATTGAGATTGGGCATGGGAATCGTCATGTTATCCACAGGTATTGTCGAATTCAATCCGTCTGACCCGGCGGGAATCCCGGGAATCGCCACGTCGGGAACGCCGGGCAGCGGCAAGTCAACTTGCGGAAGGCCGGGAATCATCGCCGCGCTCGCCCCGCCGCTAGCGCCTCCCGCAGCGGGGGCAACACCGGGCGCTGGGGTCGGCTGTGCGATGCCACCGGGATTGGCGGCGTCCGAACCGCCCGCGCCGCCCGAGCTGTTCCCCGGACTGCCCGGGCTTCCGGGGGACTCACCGCCGACGGCGGCGCCGGGGAAGGGAATGTAGGCGCTGAGATAAGGCAGGGCGAGGGCGTGGAATGCGGCGCGCCACGCGGCGTCGGTGGGCGCGAAGAGAGTGAGTGGCACGAGCGAGGGCAGCTTGGCGAGCAGCCCGGTGGCGTTGAGGACGAGCAGCGACACGTTGAACGACTGCGACGGCGACTCCGCGCTCGCCAGTGTCGCCGCTATCGACGTCGCGGCGGGACCCGGCGCGCCGCGCACGGCGCACGGCGCGGAGAGCGCGATAAAAATGACGAGGCACAGTAGCGCTGCGCGTGGTACATTCTAGGTTGCGTGAAGCATGCCGGTAGAGCGAGGGAGTAGCATCTTGGGCGAGCGAAGAGCAAGCAGTGGATGGATGGAAGTAACTTGGCAGTCAATGCGAGGTTGCACATAGCTTGCCACACTTTTTGGGTGCTTTGTAGTTCTTAAGGGACCCAGAGCATCGAGCAGTGAGCTATGTGTTGATGAAAAGACCGCTGTGTTTTGTCGGCATGGGGCTGCGCGGGCAGGGATGATGCCGGGGGGAAATTCGGAAAGCACGAAAGGCTGCTGCTTCCAGTCGCATGTGGCACGGTCCATGAACCAAAAGAGATTCTTTGGCGCAGCAGCGCGCGGTTCGTCCGCATCGCCTCGCCAGTGCGCCACACCACCACGGGCAGGAGTGAGGACGCGGTGAAAGTGGAGAATCGATCGCCAAAGGTTCGTTTTTTAGCGCGGTTAAAAAAGGTTGTGTACCTTTCGTGTCCAAAATGTGGGGTTCAGTGCGGTGACAGAATCGATCTACCCCCGATCGGGCACTTTCACCGCGTCCCCGTGCGGGAAAAGGTCGAGCGAGAAGGCGCGAAGAAGGTGCCTGTCTACCACGCCTTGTGGCTACTTGGCTGTCCGTGCTTGGATATGGCACTACCGTGCTTTTGGATTAGAATGTACGAGTGTTCATATAAAAAAATAGGAACTTATATTCTCCTTACACCACACTTGACTTCACTGCGTACAACACTATTCACCGTACAACACTATTCACTGGGTATCGGCTTGTCTTAACCCGTTACCAGCTAACAGTGTTAATAACTGTTGGATTACGAAGGAAATAGACTTGCGCATTCCCGTAGGTGCATCTGTGTCGCACCCGTCACTATCGATGCAGCAGCAACTGCAAATGGCATCGGATCAGCCCGTTCAAGGGCAGGAAGGTCAACAGTCGCAAAGTCAACTGTCGCGAATGCTGACCATCTGATCTGGACCGAACGACTCACCAGCGAAGAATGGCAACAGGAGTAATTGTCCAGACAGTTACACGTCGCGACTCGAAAACAGGAGAAGAGCAACAGTCAGAGTCACTTTAGAAATGTCTGTAAAACGGTTATAATAAGAGAATTTACCCCTTAGAGTACATGGCTAGTTAGAACGATTTATCATACGTAATCTAATCCTTTAATCAATCTTGTTATCTACATTCACTATGCACAAGGTTCCCATTACAACGAAGACTGCCGCTACCATTTACTGTATCTCTAAAGTAGACCGATCCTATCCAAGATCCTCACTCTAACACGGTATGAGAGCAAGTTTGGACTATCGGATCTGCAAAAAAACATCGTTCAAGACGATCTTAATTATTAATTACCTTACATTCAAGGGCAAGCATCATGCCAGGCGCAGACTGCGGCGAGACTGGAGAGAATCAAGAACGTCCCTCCACGAATGTCGCCAAAGGGACGACACACAACACTTCTCGAGCAGCTTATAACACGCATCAGCGCACTGGAGAGCCATCATCCGATAAGCATCGACGCCTCTAGCTACGCCCGCAGGCCTCCCGATCCACAAGGAGCACACTTCGAGCGGTCGTTTACCTTCGACAATCGTGTAGCTCAAGCATCTGCACAAGCGCAACGCTCACATTACGGGACAATGGTATCAATTCAGAGCAAAATTCTATCGACGTCAAAACTTAGAACGACCAAGCTCTTCGACGGGAAGGACTTCTATACCTGGAGCTTCGAATTCGAACTCCTGGCACAAAGTGAGCAGATCTGGATGCTTAAAGGCGGTTCACTACCGTTCCCGATCAACGGCTCACCTCAAGAGAAGACTCAATATGACAACGAGTCATTGCTCGCCTTGACCGTCCTCATCCAGAATCAGATGCCCGAGGAGCACCTCAGCATTCGCTCCTTCAAGAACGAGTGGGCGCCCGCGCAGCAATCCTAGAAACACCAGCGTACCTGCCACATGGCAACGGACTCAGTGACACTTAGTCGCCTTCTTAACCAGCTGAACAATGTGAAAATGTTTCCCGGGGAGAAAGCCGGACCATACAACAACCGCTGCAGGAATCTGAGAGAATAATTCAAGAAAAGCAGCGGCAACTTCCCTGACGACATGTTCGTCACCATCATCCTCTCTGGCTTGATTGCAAATCGCTTCTCCGCACGCAAGGCACTCTCAGGGAAACTTCGCTCTGCGCCTCGCTTCTGTTTGAACAACAGGAAATTGACCTGTATAACGAGAGAGGAAACAAGAAGGTGAAGATTGCATTTTACTCAAGCGCAGAAGGACCACACGACAAGAAGAGAATCTCCTGCAAATACTGCAAGAAGACCGGCCACACGATCAAAGAGTGCTGGAAGCTGAACGGCAACAATAACGGCAACTACAGGCAACAAGGAGGAGGGCCTCACCAAGAAGCAGCGCGCAACCCAACTATTTCCCCGCCCGCCGTCGCCAGCACTTCTCAGGCTCCCGCACGCATCTTTGCAAGCGACAAAGAAAAGAACAAAGTATTAACCTGCATGGTGCGAGACGGACCCCCTCGACCCAACCGTCACTACCGATTCTTCCGCAATTGGGAAGATATGTGGCAAGACCCACCTCAAGAAAGACCTAAATGTCCCGTTGAAGAATAAGTGGAGACTGATCCCACCTACGACGAGCCGTCGGTCGGCCGCATGCAATACGACTGGCAAGCGCCGCAGTGGATCCAAGAGTCGCCACCTGCACGTATCGCACATGACGACGAAGGGTATGAATACGAGAATGACCATGACATGGTGTCAACGGGAGTTGTGTGTTGGCCCCGTCCTCGCTTGGGCGGAGTCGCCTTCGTGGTCGGGTGTGAGGGGAGCAGCCGACTTGCAGCGGTGGGCGAGCTGGTTGACGAGGAAGTCGACCTGCACGGGAACCACTGCACGGGCACCGATTTCAGGGTGGCGCCGACTTCAGGGAGGTCGACCAGGGAAGTCGACCTGCGGAGGGCGTCGACTTCGTGACGCCAACTTGGGGCAGCCGACTTGGGTGGTCGGCTGACAGGACTCCTGGTTGACCTGGTGGTTGGTCGACTAGGCCTGCTGGTCGACCTGGTGGTTGGTCGACCAGGCGTGATGTCGACCTGGTGGTCGACCTAACAGGGTGGTTGACGAAGGAGGGGCCGACGTCGACCTCGATTCAGGATGTCGAGCAGCTGGGCGTCGAGTAGCAGGGCGTCAACTTGGTGACGCCGACTTCGGGTAGCCGACGTGGGTGGTCGGCTAACAACTACGCTGGTCGACAAGGAGCTGGTTGACCAAGAGTGCTGGTCGACGTAGAGCTGGTCGACTAGGGGTGCTGGTCGACGTGGAGATGGTCGACCAGGAATGACGTCGACCTGGAGCTGGTCGACCAGGGGCGTGGTCGACCTGGTGAGGTCGACTTGGGGTGGTCGTCGACTTGGGAGGTCGACGGGCACATACAAGAGCAGCTGGTCGACGTGGTTGCCCGGTCGACCAAGTTAC